ATAAAAATGAAAGGAAATGAAATGTATAGATGAGACCCACAAAAAAACAAAAAAGCCACTTGCGAAAAACTCTGGGATATGAGTAATGCTAGAAGTACACCAGATGAGATACCTCATTTGTATACTACTCCCTCTGTCCCGTGTTAAATCGTCTGTTTTAATTTTTGGGCATATTTAAGGAAGAGAAAAAATAGAGTTGATTTTTCGAAATTGTCATTACTTTTTATGAGAGGTGACGATGAATGAGAAGATAAGGTGGAGAAGAGTGGCTTATTTTAAAGGTAGTTTAGATATTTTACTCTTAAAAATTTACAATAATAAGTAACGAGCAATTCAACTTATTTTGGTACGAAAAAAAAAGAGAAACAGCCAATGGGACAAAGAGAATAATTTTTAGAGACATGCAATGTCTTTCCACTCAAAGTCTCCGGAAACCGTAATTATTAGCTGAGGAAAGACGAGGATGTTTGTTCATTCACTCGTGTAATGGGAATAAGCCATAGCCGCAATATTTGATTTTTTTTACGGAGTATTTACTATTTGCTCCCTATATTTTACGGAAAGGTAAGAGGAATTTTAAGTTGCTTTCTCTGTCTCGAAATAACCAATGGAGACTTAAGAGTAAGCTTTTTTTGTCCCAAAATATTTGTCACATTTTGTAAGATGAAATAAAATTTTAAATATTTTAAAATTCTTTTATTTAAAAATTTGTATAGAAATGAAAAATAATATTTACATATGAAAAACTACGTTAAAAGTTTTTCAAAACAAAAAGTAACAAGGATATTTTATTTTATTAAATAATCTATAAAAAAATACTCCGTATGTAAATAAACAGAAATTTTTGTGATTTTAAAATAGTAAAATGTAGGACTCTTTTTGGAATGGAAGGAGTAAGTAGCTTTGAACAATTTTTTTAATTTAAATAAAATTAGGGAGTATATGAGAAGATGCACAAATATATTGTGCACCATACCAGCATCCTTAGCTGAAGAGTTGTAAGCAAATGAGGCAAGGCAACGGGTGTACAATGGTTAATATTCGAGTTCGATTCGTAACAAGTGCACTGTGAGACAACTAAGCTAAGTATAAAGTTTCTGCAAGTATCATATGCACGCTCCACTTTTTATCAACAATCTGTGATTAAAGTTCAACTTATCTGACTATCATGTCCGTTCTGAGAAGACTTCGAGAATGTTTTCTTGTAAACAGATAATTTTTTATAGTACTTCTATGTCCACCATAGATCTTCCTAGACACTATTCACAGGGTCAAACTTTACTCACTTTATTTGCTCAATTTTACTAGTCATTTCATAAAATAATATAGTTTTGTCACCTCTAGTTTTGTAGAACTTTTCATGTAGTTTATTACTATATAAATTTATTTTAAAATTTTACTCTTATAATCAATTAAATTGAATTGAAAATAATGTCGATCAAGACTCGTAACGCGTAATGGGAAGATCATACATGGACGGAGGGAATATAAATTAGTACAAAGAAAGAGAAAAAGATTTGAATCGTAAAAGTTTTTGGAAAATGAAAAGAACATTTTTTTAGTTGTCCCAAATTGAAATGAAATTCCTTTTTGGGACAAAAGAGTCTTTAAAATCCCGATAAATATTTATTGCTCCCGATACATTTAGATTTTGTATTTATTGTTTTAATTATTTTTGCAATTTGGCATTTCAGAAAGCTGGAAACACAAAATACCTAATTTATTGTTTAACACAAATAATTAATGCTCCGTACGTGCCAAAATTATCATTCTAGTTAGACTTCTATATTATTTTGATTACAATTTATGAAAAAATATACTCCGTATTTATAAAAAAAATTATTTAATTATCCGTCAAAAATTACAAAAATCAAAATAGAACGATAATTTTGAAATCAAGAGTATAGAGTACTTCCCACATCCAAATTCACTATTATATTCTATATTATACTCCTTCCGTCCCATATGAAATGTCACACTCCAAACAACATGTAAAATTCTACTCGTATCATTTTTAAAATTTTTTTAATTATAGGTTAATATAAAAATAAAAAGTATAAATTACAGTATTTAAAACTATATAAAAAATCTATAAAACAAGATGTGACAAAAATATTTTATTTTATTAAATTATCAATAAAAATATACTAACAAACAAAGTTATCAAAAAATCATAATAGTGACCGCGACATTTAATTCGGGATGAGGAGAGTATGTTATAGGCAAAGATCTTTTGACCCGAGCAAAAAATCATTCATTACGGTATGCTTTGTTTTCGTAAAAATTTTACTTGTAAAAACTAAAAGATGGATAAGAAAGAAATGTTTAAAGAAAAAGTGGACGAGAAAATGCTTCACATTGTCGGGAAAAAAAAGTAAAAGTAAAGAAAAAGTTTAATGTGGCCCCGCTGGAATAAAATGTCCCCTTATTTTTAAATCACTTTATGTAATATTTGTACAAAATTTAACAATAAAATTTATATAATTTCTTCGTTCTAAAATTAACTTTTCATTTGATTTTTTTGGTATCTAATACAAGATTTTGATCATTAATTTCTTTATTTACATATAAATATATATTATAAAAATAAAATATTTCAAAGTTATGTTTCAAAATTAATCTATTGGAAGTAAATTTATATGACAGTTCAATGTATTATTTACATTATTATATGCAATCAAAGTTTAAAAAATTTGACTACAAAAATCAAGTTGAGAAGTTAATTTTTACACGGAGGGCTATTAAAAAAATATACTAATAAATTTATTGAACAATTGGAATACTCCTTTCTTAAATTAAGTTGTATATTTCATTACCATTCCTTTTCTATTTTCGTTATCGATTTGATAAAAGAATATATAGTTATGTCACTTCTTATTTCGTATAACTTTTGATATAATTTTTAAATAAATTTTCTTGAAAATAAATTCAATCACACTCTCTCCGTCCTAATTTAAATCGTGTGTTTTAATTTATGATGCTTGGCTAAAACTATTTTAAAATCATTTTATACAAAAAGTGGTGTAAAATTAAAAACTTAAAATTGCATATTACTCCCTCTGTCCCATTTTGAATTGCCTGTTTGCTTTTTTTCACCGTCCCAAAATAAGTTGCATGTTACTTGTTATCGTAAACTTTTAAGAGTAAAATAATTAAACTACCCCTAAAATAAGTCACTCTTCTTCACCTTATCTTCTTATTCATCGTCACCCCTCCTAAAAAATAATGGCCATTTCAGAAAATCAACTCTGTTTTTTCTCTTCCTTAAATATGCTCAAAATTCAAAACAGACGATTTAAAACGAGACGGAGGAAGTAAAAAACTATATAAAAAGATCTACAAAACTAGCTGTGGCATAATTATCACTACAAGAAAATGCAAAAACAATGACGGAAAATGGCGACGGAATTTTTTCCGTCGTTATTAGGGACGGATATAGCGACGGATATGGGCTGCCTACCAGACTTAACGACGGATTTTAAGTTCCATCGTTAAGTATAGGCGGGAAGTAGTGCGCACTGCTGTTAACGACGGATTTAGCGACGGAAAATAAGCATCGTTAGGTTGGCGACGGAGATTACCTACGGAAATAAGGCTTTGGCGACGGAATTATTCCATCGCCATTTCAGCAGTTTTTTGTAGTGTATGTTATTTTATCACATTACTAACAAAAATAGAATAAGAATGTGAATGAAGCTTCACTTTGAGAATAATAATAAACAGACAACTTAATTTGGAACGAAGGGGTTGCATCATTTCTGGAAATGACATAAAAATTATTGTTTTTGTCGTCCTTTCGTCATCATTCCTGAAAGATACACACGATACAGCACCTTAATTAGATCATCTCTAGACTTGGCAAATCAGTTAGTCAGGTCGAGACGTCGAGTTCATGTTTGGTCACATCGAAATGAATTTGGATTACATTAGATTCGAGTAAGTTCGTGTTCAGATTGAGAATATATGTTTATGATCCAGTGTCATCAGGTTCGAGTCGACCCAACAGGTAATAAGATTTATTTTTAGAATATTAAAACTCATACCAGCATTTGCATTTTGCACCGAAAAATAATAAAATATCAAAAAAACATATATTGATTAATTACTTTTTAGATACATTTAAGAATATTATCAATAAAAGAAAATTAAATGTTTACCTTTTTTTGAAAAAAAATGTAAGATAATTATGTAACAAAATTTAAAACTTATTTAAAATTATAAGTGTATACATAAAAAATGAGTAATAAGAAAAAAAATTAAAACATAACTTTATTTTTAATACATTATATTTCATTCGATGTTAGTCCCTCTTTTCCTAAATAATTTAGACCTTTCACTATTATAAAATCGCGAGATATTTTGTTTATTTGTGTGTTTCATTGACTACATGATGAAATCAAATATTTTTGTACTTGTTTTGTAATATTTTTTATGTACTTTTTAAATAAACAGTTTTATTTTTTTTTATTTATATACTACTCCCTCTGTCCTAAAACTTTCTTTCCACTTCCCCTTTTTCTCCGTCCTAAAACTATCTTCCCATTAGAAAAAAAAGATGACAAATGACATTAATACCCTCATGTATTTACACCAATTATCTTCTAACTCGATATTTTGATTGATTGCAAAAAACATTTCAAAAAAATCTTTTTTAAGGAGGGTAAAATTTGAAGTCAAAGCCAAAAATTAAAAATGGGGAAAAATCAAACTGGGAAGAAAGAATTAGAACGGAGGGAGTAATATTTAAATAAAATGAATTGAAAAAACAGTAAAATTTTACTTCATTTTGTGTGAAGTATAAATCATTTAGGGTCGGTCAGGTCTGTTCAGATTACGTCGACTTTGACGCATTTTTCGCGGGTTATTTCAGGTTGGTCAACAAAACCTATATTTAAAATCCAATAATTTCGAGTCATCTGAGATAAAAAAACAAGTGAGATCAATTTTTGTGAGGTTTAATCATTTCCAATCCATTATATCAAAATCAAACATAAAATAAAGTATAAACCCAAAATCTAGTAATTCATGTCCAAAGCATTTTGCGTTTAAAAATACAGCACGGTTGGATGAAACTCTACAGCAAAACTCTGCCAGTTAGAAATGCTCTTACAACCTCTCTCCATCCACCATAGTGCACATCTAACATTGCAAGTGTGCAACAAAACTAACAATCAGAAAAATAGACTGATCAAAGAGCCAAACTTTTTTTTTCTTCATTTCTGATCTTTGTCCCTCCTAAACTGGGTGTTTCGTTGATTACCAAAACAAGAGAGAAATTACAACATAAGAATCCATTCATCCCTAGCAAATGATCAGTTATATGCCAGAAGTTCCTCTCCCAAGAGTGAGCTCCAGGTAATCCAACCCTACCTCATGAATTCTCTCCCCCTCCCAAGCTTTCACCGCGACATTGTTCTCGAACCCAAACTCCACACCTTTACCCTTATGATCCGACATTATTGGATCATCGAGCCGAGCGCTGTGATGGGGATTGTTGGGCTTCATAAGATTGAAAGTCGGGGACGGCGGGCGCATGTTATTAAGCCCAAATTTCTGGAAGCACGTCCACTGGCCTGAATCGGTGGTGGATGCATCGGACTCATCACATTCAGGAATGGTGGCAGGGAATCTCCGGCGACCACGGGTTGGGCTGGATGGGGCAGAGGCAAAGAGTGGGATGTTGTTTAGGGCTGAAATGGACTCCAAGTTGAAGGGCAGTTTGGGAGCTCGGGTGGGGGAAGAGATGGGTGGGGTCACGGGGGCGCTGTTTGATATCCTNAGAGGAGGGAGCAAAGAAGATGGGATGGAATTGTGGAGGAAGGCGAAGGGATGGGATGACATCATTGCTTCGCCGCCACGGGTTGGGCTCGGGCACGATGAGGATAACGGGCTGGGTTGGTACGAAGGGACCGGGCTGGCGAAATAGGATGATGGGGGGCTAGGGTTTCCAGAAGAAGTTGGTGTGATGTTGGCTGAAGTTCCTCCAATCTCCATTGGTGTTGGCCTGAATCCCTGATGAACACATTCAATTAACCATTATAACTCAAAAATTATGCACATAGTAGTACTAATCACAGAACTCCAGAAAGAAAAGAGAGTGAGATCTGGAGAAGATGAAATGTTAATCAGAGAGCATAAGTTCAGAACAATCAAAGGAATTTGCAGGAAACCTGAAAACAGCAAAGTACAGAGATAGTTCAATCTAGCTCAGGCTTGAACGATAACCAAATTAGGCAAGAACAGTTATAGAAATTGAGTCTTAATTTCATGAAATCCTCTTCTTCTTCTGGAAATACGGCATTAATTAAACACGCTCAGCTAATATAATTAGGGTAATCAATTAAGTTGAGAAGAACATGATCCAGGTCAATTCGATGACGAACGAGACATAACCATGAACACAAACATAAAATGTCCAGATCTACATAGCCGAAGCTGAATTTCAGGAAGAAGGGATAGGAATTGAGTAAGAAGGAAGAAGAAGAAGAAGAAGACGGACCTTGCGAAAAGTGGTGCCGTCGGGTTGGACGATCCAGCCGGCCTCAGAGCAGAGAGCCTTGAGAACCTCATTGTTGTCACAGTGCTTGGGGAGATCGTAGTTCCCCTGAGCTCTCAGTCCGGCGAATATCTTGGCGGCAATAGCTCTCCTCCTCCTTTCTCTCCTCCGGTTGTTTTCTCTCTCCCTCCACGACGGCTTCCTCCTCCCATTTCCTCCGCCGTCAGCGCCGCCGTTGCCGGCAGATCCTCCGCCTTCCCACATCATCGTTTCCCCTCTCTCTCTCTCGTTGAGGGTAGAGGATTTTGCGGGGTGCAGGGTGAGGAATTTGTCACGAGAATTGCGCTCCCTGCGGACACTATTAGTAATCTGCTTTAGTAGGGCTGTCTATGAAATCCTACCTTTATCGTACTCCCGAATTTAAAAAAAAAGAAAAACATGTTTATATAAATTTTTGGATTAAGCTACCTTTATCCATCTTCATTTTATGTCAGTGTAATGCTAAGATAATTGTTCACACAAACACTAAATGTTAATGTAAATTTTTGTTAACGCACTAGCATTTTGTGTCAATGTAAATTATCAAAATGTTAATGTATACATATAGCATAATATTAAGCTATACTTTTTTGTGTAAGTGTAGCATGGCTATTAGTTTTATCTAAAGATTCTATCTCAAATCAAAGGTTTGCATTAATATAAAAGATTAGTGTGATCGTAAAAAATTGTAGTGACGTTCTGTGTCAACGTATACGTGTAAATTTTTTAGAATTATTGTCTTTAAAATTCACCTAGCACTAATAGAGGTTTTTTCCCTTAAAATTATTATCTTCTAACACAATTGTCAAGAATCGAGTTCGGCTCTTAGTTTGTTACCTTTTGTGCACCTCTTTTCGTGTCACTACCATAGATAGTATCACGAATGAATAAAGGGTAAGCATGAATAAATTTTAGCTCATACCGATATTGTATCAAATAATTTGATTTGATTTTGAATTCTACTTACTCCGTTCCCCTGTATTTGTTTACTTTCATTTTTACACATCATTCAATGCACTTCTTTAATCCATTTTATCTTGTAATTTGTATATTAAAAAATTATAAAAATTATATATTAATATTCTACGGAGCATACGTTAAGACAAATCAAAAAGATCACACATGACTATATTTAGGCTTACACATTGAGAAAATTTGATGAATCAAAGTGCTTAGATAAACAGTTTCAAAAGTAAAATGTGGACAAATACAGGGGGACGGAGGGAGTATGTCGTACCAATATTGATAATCATTATTGGTACTAAACGACATCAATACATATATACCTACTTTACATTTAAAATACATAATAAAACTCTGTTATGCTCCCTAAATTTTTTGAAAAATCAAAAGTAATTTTTTTTGAAAAAAAAAGCGCAATTGAATAAAGTAACATAAATACTCTATCATTCCTATATGTTCAGTTTGGTATTTGGGAACACGAGACTCTCAAATACTCCATCAGTCATTTTCTTTCGGTTTGTTTTGATTTCTTTCGATTTTTTTTTTCAATATTTTTTTTGGGTTAGATTTTTGTAATTAAAACGCGTGAGAGTAGGCGGTACACTGACGTAGTGGGATATCAGTGCGAATCGAATCTCAGTCGACACAAAAAAAAAGTACAGAAAATGAGAGAAATGGGAAAATAGAAATAAAAGTACTTTTGGATCAAAATTTGCGGCCTCTATTATTGCGTGGGTCAACCGTCCACTAATTTTCGAACACGTTCGTGAGTGGGCCCGGCCCAACTGGAGACGACGCTGCCGCCCGTATCGCATTAACGTTGAGATTTATTTTGTGTCTACTACTGTTATGCTTCTCCCATAAAAATTAAATATACGAAAAAATAAATGTCGATGTTTTTTCAGCCTTCAAATTTTATTTCTGGAATGTCTATGATTTCAAAACGTTACATCTTTTCTTAATATTTTTTGTTCATTTTTTTCGACAAGAGAAAACATTGATGCCTAATTTTTAGATCACAAGGGCCGCGGATCCAAATACTTATTTTCCGTTCATTTTCTTAAAGTTACTCTATATAATGTTTTTAAAATTTAAAATTTCTTTTTGCTTGAATTAACAAACAAATGAACATATATTTCGTCTATAGGAGTATTAACCAAAATATTTTCATTTTTCTTTTCCATAAATAAAAAAACTTTTTGAGACATTTAAAAAAGAAAATGAGGAATAAGAAAATATACAACAACAATGTATGAACTAATGTTCACTTCTTTAAAATGAAAAGGTAAAAAATACTATGTATGAGATATTCAAAAAGATAAAATTAAAAATTGTGGCACAATAGCATACCAACCCTTGAAATTAGGTCTTTTGGAAAAAAAATATCCATCTACCGACCCATGAAAATTATGAGAAAATCCACATTTCATATATGAAGTTTATGGCCACAAAAGAACAACTCCTATACGAATTAAGTGCAAAATCCCATGTCTTATGAATTCATTTATTAAAAACCTGGCATAAAAATAAAAAAATAAAATTTACGTATTTAAAATTCACATCAAAAACTTTATGAATATTTTATGTTATTAAACAATCGATAAGAGCATACAAATTATAAATAAACAAAAGTTAACAAGACATGCTTCAAAAAAAAATAACAAAACAGAATGATTCATATAGACAGTCAATGGAAGTTATAAGAATAAGCATCTCTAGAGTCTCTCCCAGCAATGATTGGAGAACTACAACATCAAAAACAAGTCCAGTAAAATATAGCAAAATGTATCCAAAAGTAAGACCTAGGATGAGTGGTGTTAAGAACAACAATAAAATCTACCCAAGAACAAACCCAGGTTCCACTTCCAATAAAATCCACCCAAAAATGTCGAATATATTATTCAAAATAAATATTATAGCACGCTCTACATCATCGTCTTTGACGCCCATATCCTCCGTCGTGGTGTAGAACGTGCTATAATATGTATTAATAATGTGTTTAGCATAAAATTATTTTTTTATAATTGTGTGTTTAGCATAAACATACAAAAATTATAGTACTACCGGAGAGGTTAAATAACTTGGTTGGGTAGCCCTTGCTCCGAAATGGCGTAACCTACAAACTTTGTACCCACATCAATCCCTATAACCCTATCGAAGGGCAAATTTCGTGAGAGACATAATGTGGATCTCTCTCATTTCTCCATTGATAAGAAATATTTGGAAGCTTGAAAAAGAAGGGGTTCATTCCCCCAAGAAGTCCATCCAGCTAATAGTTCTCTAGAGAACAATTCGATGCAACGGACATGCTTTGTTCCTGACAGATACTCCACCAGCAACTCTAATGCAGAAATAAATTCAAGAAATGCAATCAAACTGCAGTTTAAGAAAACCAATGAACCCTAATGGAAATTCAAACATGTCAGATTCATCACTCAATACAACCTTGAGCAAACCTTGCTTTCACATATAAGAATCATTTCTCTAGCACACAATTCATAGAAACCCATCTCAACGGAACTCTTTTTACATTTTTCTTCTTCTTCTTCTCTTTTATGTGTGGTTTTAAGCTCTCTAGAAATTATGAATATATGTTGTCTTTTTTGGCCATATATCCAGCATTATATTATCATTTTAATTATCCTGGTTCTATGAAGACATTAGCTATTTGCACTATTTGTATTATCATCCCAATTATGGGCTCATTTGGTCTTGTTTCTTTTAGCTGATTCTATGATTCTAATTCTCAGAAGAATGGAGTGTTTTCAGATGCAATGGAAATGATCTTATCTGCTTATCAGAAAATTAATCTCTTTTCTAAATTAGGAATTAGAATAACAATCTGGACAAAATTTTAATGATCTAATTCACACCTAGGATATCCCTCAGTTTTCATTAACATCCCTGTAATTGCTGACGATTCGTACCTCCGATTGGGGGCTTCCTTGAATAATCTCCTGGAACACTCATGAAGACAAGATTATTAGGTATGTCATTCAATCTTAACAAATTAGATGCATTTTCCTGCAAAGACATGGTCAAAAGATGATATTAATATGTAAATGACAGCACCAGATATACATAGTCGAAAATTCTGCACTTGGAAGAAGCACACCTTCTCACCAGAGAAACCCAGAAGAAGGCATTCATATGGTCTGTGATGAAAGAGATCCAATTCGCCTATCAAAAACCCATTTGCCTTCACCTATAACATTCAACTACACTGAGTAATGGAAATATGTGCATGATTCATCGCTATAGGACTAAGGTTAAAGATGACCTTCAACCAATGAAAGCTGGCCATATATGTTACACCCCAGGCTGGAAATAATTCTTTCTCAACAAAACTCCGCAATTTCTCCCTGTTGGTGACCCATAAGGCTACCAAGGCCCCTGCAGAATGAGTAAGTTTCCTGATGGGAAGAGATAAGAAAGTCCGGTTGGGCAATGTTTTATATCTGCATTTTGAAGGAAGACAAATTAAAATTGAGCTTACTAATAGTAATATCATTGGTTGACAATAAATGGAAGACAAATCATTATATGTTATAGTAAGAACCCAGGAAATGATTTTTCTCATTGGTTGACAATAAATGGAAGACAAATCATTGCTGCGTAAATAAAAAGCAGCACATGTATTTATTATCATGTATTTTATCGTCTATCAGGGTCCATCAATTATGCTCGTAATCGTTCGTTCAAAGAAAATAAACAGCTAGTGACTTATACAATGCTATCATTAAGGCATAAAGAAACCTATATTAGCAGAAATGTACACAGAAATATCTACTAAATTGACTAATGCATACCTTCGTTTCTGATGGGCACTGCTGTTTTCCCAAGGTGGGTCAATGACTATAATATTAAATCCAGACTCTGAATCAGCTGCAAGGAGACAAGTGAAAGTTTAATAAAGACAAAAAATGGTGTTAAAAGCTGTGTAATTAATTGAATACAGTCTCCAACTTAATTGGAGAAATGCAACAAAAGACAATGGCATGCTTTTCAGGGCAGACCAAATTAAGCCAGCTACAAGCTATTGATTTCTGTAAACGTACAAACATTACAGAAAGATGTAGTGTTGGAAATTACCAGGGACCAAGTTGTGAATTTTCTGCACGTCAGACTGCCAATCCAACAGGGGAAATAGAGTAAATGATTAAAATCACAAAATTCAAATCCGACAAAACTATATTAAAAAGGCCACGGTGATACTCCAAGAGCTAATTCAGGATTACATAGGATTTTGTTAGGGTGGGAAGGATACATACTAGCAACTTCGGGAAATGGAGTTGCGTTAGCCGTTAGGTAACATTCTTTGCCAGCAAATGTTTAATATCTTATTATCTTAACAACCAATGATCGTTTACCATGTAGAAACAACTCTCTTTGGGAATAATATAATTCTGGTTCAAAAATTCAGCCTCTACATCACCACTTCCTTTATTCACAATGAGATTATCAAAGATTGGGATCACATCTTGCTTGAGATGTTGACCACATGGAGATCCTGTTAAACCAAGCAGCAAAGTTATTTTTTTCTTCAGAAAACGCTGTGCTTTTTTGGAAATCAGCCATATGGAGATAGAAACTTCAATACTACCACTCGAGAAGCTGATTGGAGATCAAGCTCTTTTGCAATCTAAAACGGCGAACATTATATGAAACCCACCCAATAATTTGCCTGGCCTTTTAGTTCTTCTGATATGTTCATATGTTCATTCGATTACCAAACAGAGCCCGTGAAAATCTAGAATGTTTTCTACCTAAAACTCAAAGCTTGGCAGTGAAGTGCATAATTTCCTACTAATTTTCAGTTAATTAAACTATAAAAGTAATATGATATGCCATGTCCTTGAAATTCTCAAAAAACCACCATAAGAACATATGATTGGCATCAAACAAACCTGTATTTTCAATAAAGGCATCGCCTTCCTGATAATTTAGAACAACTTCATAAAGCGGAGCTTGCCAAACACATCCAATATCTGCAAATGAAAGCTCGCAGCTCTGCTGAGTCAATTCTCTACGTTCCTCATCAGAGAATTCACCAGGCCTCAAATTTCTCACCAATTTCAAGAGCTCAGTGGCTCCCAGCAAAGCTTCATGCGCTTTCAACAAAAACGATCTGACCTCCTTCAACAATGAGACGCAATTAGACAAATACGAGCACAAATAAAATCAAAGATAACTCTGTGAATTACCATTACCTGGTGCCTTTGATCGGCGACTTTCTCCCGTGCGTTGAGGGAGATTGGCTTCTTCTCTTTGCGCTTCCGCTTTCTCGATTCTGCGGGAGCCTCGAGCTTCTCAGAGAAGTCGAAGAAACGAGAGTAATAAGCAGACGGTGAAACCTTATGCCTCGTATAAGACCTGTTTAAGACACGAACCGGATCGATGAAGAAGGCATTGGCGCCACGAAACCGATAGATGCCGGATTTTATGAACGACGATAGCTGGCCGTCCTCCATGTCCGAACACCGCCGATTCGCGTTGGCCGGCGAGTGCCCCATTAAAAATCACACTCCATTTCTATGGGGTTTGGGGGGCCTGCCAGGCAGGCTTTGTTTGGTAACCGCGTTTTCGATTATCGTTAGCGTTTTGGATAAAATTTTAACGGTGCAGATTAATTCTGAAGACGCTAACGCTAAAGGCTACCGTCGGATAGCTTTTTCAAAACGCTAACGTTAATCTCTGATGCTGATGCCAAACGAGGCCGCAGTATACCCCTACACCACCACCTCACCACATCTCTTTGTTTTTTTTCAAAAAAATGACAATTTGGTGAAAATAAAAAAATAGAAAAAAGTGACCGTATAACCCGAGCTCTTTTGAAACTCTATGATATACCCTTTAACATCAAAAAGTCTATCATTTTCTCTCAATTTTTTTGAATATTGTACGATTTACTTTTAAAAATGAAAAAAATGCACCAAATATCTCTGAAAAGTAAGATGTTGTATTGTTTGTCGTAAAATGCTAGATAGAGAGTGTGTTGCTCCCACGCATGAGAATTGCGAGTATAATTCATCTGCCCATGTCAATTATCCAAAGTACCCCCTCAAAATTATCGCCTTTATGTAAATGTTCAGGATTACACTATGCAATTTCTGAATAGTTCAGAGGTATCTTGTGCACTTTTTAATGTTCACGAGTAAACTGTTTAATTTCTGAAAAATTCGAGATTAAACGATGCACTTTTCTAAAAAAATATATTTCTTACTTTTTTAATGTTATTGACTTGATTACATTCTGATATTTGTTTATGCTTTTCACAAAATATTATCATCACAATTCTTCAACCAATTCAATTTCATTATTTTTATTGAACTTCTCAAAAAAGATAACTTACTCTATTTATTTGTTTATTAACAATTTAACATGGACTCTTTATCAGCAATTTTCTCATAAAGTCTATCAATTTTTTTGGTGACTCAAATGATGAAAGTTCTGCTAGCTCAACGAGAAAACACACAAGCATCAGAGTCGCAGAGAAGACAACGATTGTTAAACCGAGATGGAGAGGATAAAATTTTTGTTATTGAATCTTAAAATTTATATTTAGAGTGGATTTTTTTATATTTTTGATGGATACCCAAGAATAGGGGTATCCGGCCCAACAGGAAAGCGGCCAAAGCCCAATCAGGCAAAGTCCCATCTAGCTGGGCAAAGGCAAGAGAAATCTAAAGCCCTAAGAAGGCCACTTCCGCATCAGATCACACTCGGCCTCGGCAAAATCGATCATCCTCGGCCCCACCTTGGCCGGCCTTCCGTCAAATGACTTCAGGGAACAGATCAAGCGTACTCAGCCTCAGCCCGAGGCGCTAGCAGACCAGACCCAGACATGGGAGCTGCCTAAGTAGTCAAGATCAAGGGGCTCACGATTGGACCCCTGCCGTACCTCTAGTAGAGTTGTTCTAGCCACCTTGTTTGTAACCTACTTTGTATAGCAGCCCTATGGATAATGATGTGGTTAGGCGCCGCAAGTGGACAGCTCAGTCTTAGTGGCCCGGACCGTTGGACTCCGGACCAATGGTCGGGACCCTCTGTTGTAATTCGCATATAAACCCCTTCTACAGGAAGGGGGAATTACGTTCTAACTAGCACAATAATACTCACAAACTTTACTTGATTCCCATTTGGTTGCACACTCGACTTGGTTCAATACTCTTCTGCCTAGTCTCCTAGGTCCCGAGTTCCTTAACCCAACATTGGTACTCTCAGAAGCAAACATCTTCTTTATTCAATATTAATTTGCAACTGCTCTTGATAGGTTGTTTCTGGCTACTTTGCAAATCACCTTTACTACAGCGACGAAGAATTTAGGCGCTGATTTTGTATGAGCTATTGGTTATTTTTTCATATTACCAAATATTTGGCAAATAAAAACTTGATTTTCATATTATAGTCAGATGCTATAATGAATAATGGTTTTACAACCTTACAAAAAAATGCTCATTGGTGCTAATACAACTGGTATCTTGCACTAAAATTGAGTAGGCCCCAACTGATGTTTTCATCGAGGTGATTCGTCATGTGAGACGGTGGAATATTAACATCCCAGTGCGAAGATGCGAGAGACTCACGTTGGTTGGGAGAAGTATGGGAATATGTAGACCTTTTAAGAGTTGGAAGGAGATGAATAAGGAGGACTTAAAACTTTCAGTCCTCATTAGGAATATAACATTAGATAAGAGCGTTTAGATAGGATTTGAGTGGCTTAGTAGGTGGTTTGAGGTAGATGGTGTTGTTCTTGTGTGCATTGTAGGCATATGTTTGGTGCTATTTTACAATCTGCTTGCAATACTCTCGTTTTGTCACTTTAGTTTATTTGAGAGTTAATTCCCAAAACGGTCTTTTTAATAAGTTATTTTTCCAAATCACTCTTCAATAAGTAATAAATACCAATTCAACATGGTCTTTTATAATTTAGATTTATTTCTCAAACAGCCCACTATTAAAAATGTTTTTTTATTCTGAGAGTTAAATGGAGGTTAATCGATATTTTTTGTCATTTAAATTTAAAGTATGTTTTCGAAATGCTTCTTAATAATTTAGTGCTTTTTCAAAATGATAATTTCTAAGAAACTACTTTTTTTCAAATGGAGCAATGAGCTGACTCAGAGTGAGTCAGTTACTCTAGCAATCACCCACTTAATTTGAAAAAATTATTTTGAGATCTTATTTATAATTTAGATAATAGACAATACAAAAATACCTTCAATTTAACTTTCATTTAATTGGCATTTTTACAGTGAACTATTTAGCGAAAATATCTAAATTATAAAAAATAATGTTAATAATTATTGTTTAATGAGTACTAATTTAGGAAAACATCTTATTAGAAAGGACTACTTTGAAAATTAATTCTTTATCTAATTTAGTTTTATTGTTGTGCCCTTGGTACCTTATTTTACATTGTATCTCTGTTTTCCTTGCTATATGCATTTATGGTGTGATCTTTTTATGTGCAGCTTGAGTCAGGAGTATCATGGAAATGACATTTATATTTTCAGGTAGGGGTAATGTCATATACCCTCCCTGACCCTACTTTGTGAGATCTTACTGGACTATTGTAGTTCTTGCAAAATACAATAATTTTTCATATTGTCTATTATTAGCAATAAATCTTTGAAAAAAACTCATTAGTTTTTGAGTAATACTAGAGTCACAAACAATTTGGACACAAATCACACAAACTTGTATTTTGTGCACTTTTCCAAGTGAATAAAATGATTTTAAGTAATTAAAAAATAAAAATTTAAATACACAAATGACAAGTTTGTATAGTTTTTATCTAAGTTATTTATGACTCTAGCATTATTCTAATTTTTTGACATTTAATGTCGCCTTTAAGAAAAATTGAAGTGCTGGCTCTCGACTCTCAAGTCTCAACTATTTATACTTCTAATTATCTGAATTCATAGACTCACCATAAACACTGTACTCATTTGACATCGCTGTTAAAAGATTTGCATTAGAGCATTGAAAAAATTTTCTGGCAATGCTCTTTGGTGTTATCATTTCCTAAAAATTACTCCCTCCGTCCTAAAACTTTCTTCCCAGAACACTATTTGTATTTTTTCATGACCTATATGATAAAATAAAATATTCTTGTCACCACTTGTTTTGTTGAACTTTTGATGTAGTTTTTAAATATGTATGTTTTATTTTTATTTCTATACCAATATTTAAATAAAATAAATTGAAAAAACCTGGGATTTTTCTTCGTTTTGCGCAACGAAAAGAAAGATATAAGACGGAGAGAATATCATTAAAATTTTCTTAAAACAAACGATAATCGAAAATATTATTCTCAAAAAGAGTTGAGTAACACTAACCAAAAGAATTGTTTCCAAACAAGTCAATATTTACTCCCTAAAGTCATACTTTTCTTTGCAAATGCTATAAACGATTCGGTACGATTATGATCCAGATTATGATCCAGTATGATATCATGCTAGTTCAGTTTTTTTGGCCACATCCAAGTCGGATATTTACTCCCTAAAGTCATACTGTGCATAAATAATGGACTGGATTTCACCTCCACTTTTATTTTGAAGTTCAAATTCAACAAAAGGAGAGAAAAAAAAGTCCCAAAACTGACTTGATAATTATGGAAAAATATTTGCCATCATCCGACTGCGGGACCCGCTGGCAGGTAGAGCACATGGTCCTCCCTCCGGGGTCCCCACGCCCAGCGTATTCCCCGCTTTCGTGACAGTTTTCTCATTTTTCGTAACGTATGTGGCCTTTTACGTTTCTGCCCTTCCCCCCCCTCCGAAACCCGTGCCCTTTCAAAAAATTAGCGCGGCAGGGTCAGTTCCGTCATTTCGTCTCACCCACTCGGGTTCTCGGGCACCCGACCCGTATTGCGGGAAGCGGGCGTCTTCGCCAGTTCGCCATGCCCGAGAAGCATGCCCCAACTGTAACGCACGATCTACGTGCCCGTCCGCCACGTGTCGGGATCGGATTGGCCCACTTTTCTCCCTCGGGATTCGTGTCCCGTCTGCAGTGAGAAAAAAAAACATTTCGAAGAAGAGGAGAAAAAGAATGCCGAGAAAAGCACACTCTTTCTCACTCTACTCCACTCTTTCTCTCTCTCTCTTCGGTCGTGCTTTCTCTCTCTAGAATTTCCCACTTCAATCCCGCAATTTCCTCCCCGGAACCGCCACTTCCGACGCCGGCAATGCGCGATCTGTTCGGGGTTTCGGGCTGAGTCGCTGATTTCGGGTGAGTTGACTCGCTGAGTCGGACGGAGGAAAGATGATGCACGAAGCGGTGGAGAGCAGCACCGTGCACGGCGTCGGAGGATTCTCGCAGTTGCAGAGCTGCGGGGAGAGCAGCGAGGAGGAGCTGTCGGTGTTGCCACGCCACACCAAGGTGGTCGTCACCGGAAACAACCGCACGAAGTCCGTGCTTGTGGGGCTTCAGGGCGTCGTCAAGAAAGCCGTCGGCCTCGGAGGCTGGCATTGGCTGGTGATTCATTAAATCTCAAATTTTGAATCTTTTTTGTGTTTTGGATAAGTGTGGGTTTTATTAATTGGCATTTAATTTTGGCATTTCTGCTGTTAATT